CGTATTTTGAAAAGAGGTCTTTAAGGCAGGCCAATATTCGAGCATCGTTCCTATGGCTGAAAACAATTATAGCCATCTTGTAGGCACATGTCTAAGGAATCTCTATCTCCTTCCATTTCTACAAAGCCAAAAATCTCATTAACGTGTCTTTTTTTTTTTTTCTTTTCACGGCCACCACGGTCTTGACCTACTGGGCTCCTTCTGCATGTTTTAAGGAAACTGAAAAGTAACCAACAACTTCCATTATGAAAGCCTCAATATCACAGGAAAACAAATCACATCCCTTTTTAGCAATCTTGTGTACAAGGTGTTCAGGACATTTAGCAGGTAAGATCTTTTAATTTTCTTTGGTAAGAAGTTTATAGACTGAATGAAATTTGCTGAAATTTATATCTGCACTATCTGCTGACTATGCAGATAGTTGAGCAAAGTCTAGTTTGTATTTGGACAAGATATCAACAATCTTTTATGTTTTCTGAGGTTTCATTAAAATCTTCACAGAAATCAAGAAGACAATTTGAAACTCCATTTTTCAAATCAAAGTACCTAAGAGCTAGGGAGAACACTTGTTTATTGCCATGATTCAACCCATTGCTTGATATACTGTAGAAAGCATGATTGCTGGTAAGATCTGACAGAATCAGTTCTACACTGTAAGGGGTCAACACATCTGTTATGAAAATTTCTCCTTTTGTTGCCCACAGGACATTTTAGTTGCAACCTCTGAATCAGGAAATGTAACTTCACTCAGTTTCACAGACCAGTCGAGGGCACAAAAGGATAATGCATGTTCATTTGTGTGGTTTGCCAAAGCTAACTCAGCGGCTGCTATTTTTGATTGAGCATTGGTCTTCCTGGGAAATGAGAACACTTGGGATTGATTCAAAAGTACTTGCTTGTTTCATCCCAGACTTGCGAGATTCAGTCTCCATATGTTGTTTCCCATCCCTTTCTCCACCATGCCCAACCCCAAATTCTTTTCTGCACATTGTGCAGTATGCTGTGTTTGGGTTATTTACCTCTCTAATCCAGTGGTATGTGTCCTTCCATCATTAAAATAACATAGCTGCTTAGCCTTCTTTCTTGACAATGTCTGGGTCATGCTGTTGTTGGTATTGTACTCGTTATAAGTTTCACTATCTGAACTCTTAGAAAACATGGTCACAATAATTCACAAAGTTAAAAACTGAACTAGCACTATCTATCTCTACATAGTTAATGGACAACACAACAGTTAACTGGACTAACACTCAAGATTAAAATTTAAGCTAGGCCAGGCACAATGGCTCATGCCTGTAATCACAGCAATTTGGGAGGCCGAGGTGAGAGGATTGCCTGAGTCCACGGGTACGAGACCACCCTGGGTAACTTGGCGAGACCTCATTTCTACAATAAATCAAGAAAAATTAGCTGGGCATGGTGGCACATGCCTGTAGTTCCTCATGCCTGAGGCAGAAGTATCGCCTGAGCCCAGCAGGTCAAGGCTGCGGTGGCCGTGAGTGTGCCACTGCACTCCAGCCTGGGTGACAGAGTGAGACTCTGACTCAAAAAAATAATTAAGCTGTACATACTTGTTCTTGTTCTTGAAACTAAAGTTGCTCTGAGAGAATGCAACTTTACATCAACAGTGGATGATCCGTTATTGTGAGCCACAGGTCAGGGATGCCAACTCAGCAGTCAACAGAAGGCGGATAATTGCCATATCCACTTGTCACTAAGAAAGTGTTATCTTCAGTCTCTTTTGAGGGGCCATATAGGTTTTATATTCTCCCCAACCCCAAGCTTCTACACTCATTGCTAAAAACCAGTACTTTTTATACCCAGGAGTTTCCTAGAATGTGGAACTTTCAGGGACAGTCTGTTCTTGCTACTTGGAAAGCTGAGGTGGAAGGATCACCTGAGCCCAGCAGGTTGAGGCTGCGGTGGCTGGGAGCATGCCACTGCATTCCAGCCTGGGCAACAGAGTGAGACTCCAACTCAAAAAAAAAAAAAAAAAAAAAAAAGAATGACAAATTATACATGCATCTCATTATAAATGTAATATAAAGATGCTCACTCATGTTTACAAACTACTTGACATACTTGACAATCATGTTAAGGCCAGTAAAGGTAAAAAAAAAAAAAAAAAGGTAGAGAAAAAGAATGCAGAGAAAAGAAAGTTAACACCTTTCCTCCCAGTCATTAGTTAGCTTATCAGAAGCTGAAATCAAAGTTTGTTTAATGCTGTTCAAGGCTGGTAAACTGATACTAGTCATTAACAAATTAAAAGGTTTCATTAAGAACTGCCTGCATTACATGCCTCTGCCCTGAGACATTAAACAGCCACAATTAGCCTTCAATCCTGAGGGGTAAAAATTATGTTCATTTAAAAATGGGCTATGAGGGCTGGGCATGGTGGCTCCCCCTGTAATTCCAGCACTTTGGGTGACCAAGGCAGGAGGATCCCTTGAGCTGAGGAGTTTGAGACCAGCCTGGGCAAGGTAGTGAAACCTTGTCTCTACAAAAAAAAATTTTTTTTTTTTTTTGAGTTGGAGTCTCACTCTGTCGCCCAGACTGGAGTGCAGTGGCTGCTCCCGGTCACCGCAGCCTCGACCTGCTGGGCTCCGGCAATCCTTCCACCTCAGCCTTCCGAGTAGCCGGAATTACAGGCATGCGCTACCACGCCCGGCTGATTCTTTTTTGATTTATTGTAGAGATGAGGTCTTGCTGCCCAGGCAGGTCTCAAACCCTCGGGCTCAGGCAATCCACTCACCTCAGCCTCCCAAAGGTGCGGGATTACAGGCTGAGCCAATGAGCCCGGTTTCTACAAAAAATTTTTAAAAATTAGCAGAGTGTGATGGTGCACACCTGTAGCCTCAGCCACTTGGGAGGCTAAAGCAGAAGGATCACCTGAGCCCAGGAGTTGAGGCTGCAGTGAGCCATGATCTTGCCACTCCACTCCAGCCTGGGTGTCAGAGTGAGACCCTGACTCAAAAACAAAAACAAAACAAAAAAATAGGCTATGAATTGTATAATTTATCTATTAATGCCCTCCCAGAACCCAAAGCTACACAGATTTCACGCATCAAAGGAAACAACACAACTACCTTAGTTTCCTATCCTTCTAATATACTATCACCATACATTGTAAATAAGATGACCCTGTGTGCCTCTCTTTATTTTTATTTTTTTGAAGGTTAGAGTTCCTTATTGGGGGAAATCAGAGAACACAAGAGACAGAAACAAGTCGTAGGGGCTTGAGAGTGAACTCAGAGCAGAGGAGCCCATCCTGGGAGAATGAGGATGTCCATAGCCCGTGCAGAAGTTGTCAGGCGGTGCCCAAGGGTATGATGAAGGAGAGACAGTCCCCAAGGGCACCCCAGCGGGGCCAGTAGATCTGGAAGATGGTGATTCAGGTGGTGAGCACAATCACCCAGAAAGGGAAACCCACAGTTGAGCGCCAGACATAGCCTTTGATCTGGCTCTGCTCTGTGTAGGCCGGGACAAGGAAGGCCCCTCGAAAGAACCAGAAGATGTTGACCAACCAGAGAAAAGGCAGAAAAGCAGACCCACCCAGGTAGTACTTCCGGCACAGGTTCAACTTCTCTTCATTGGAAACTCGCTCCAAGTTCGTAGTTGCGCGGGACCGGGTGTCCCAAGGATGTGCAGAGCCAGACCCAAGCCTTGACCTTAATTGACAGATGCAAGGATCATCAGTGGAGCTTACTTCCAACGGCTGGGCTGCCTCTGCGGCTTTCAACTACGGACGTTTGCGCCTGTGTGCCTCTCTTAACGACAAATGCCCACCTTTTTCACTTAAGTGAAAGGAGGGCTCTGCTTCGTGACCGCTTCCTGGATCTCTCCCTCCACCTTCGGTGTTCTTTCCGGCAAACCAGTCGAAGTCGTAGTAGCGCTGCCCCCGCGTGATCCCGAGAACGCGACCCTTCTGTAGCGCGATCCTGAGAACGCGACCTGCTACCGGACCAGTATCGCGAAGGGGACTGTTAACATCTCCTGAACCGGCGGCTGCGGGGTCGCGACTGGCTCCGCGAGTAGCGCCTGCACTTCCTCCGGTGGCGCCTTTGGGAAGGAGACCCTTGACCTGCTCCTTCTCCAGGGCAGGCTCCGACTCCTGGACGGCGACTCGAGACCCGGGACCCATGCTGACAGCTTCTGTAAGAGGAGGCGAGCCTGGCCACGTAGCTAAGACATCGTTGCTCTGGCTTCTTACCTTCCTGCTCTTTGAAAAGGGTCCCTTCCCGAAAACCCAGGCTGTCCTCTAAATAGTGATTCTCAAGCGGGGCATTCTTCCCCGGGAGGGGATGGATATTCGACCAAGTCTGGAGACACTTTTGGTCGTCACAAATTGGGGTTGCTGCTTGCGTCCAGTGGGTGGAGGCCAGGGATCCAGATCAGTCTCCTGGGATCCGCAGGACAGCCCTCCATAAACAGAATTAGCCAGCCCCAAAAGTCAATAGTGCCGAGGCTGCGAAACCCTGCCCTAAAACAAACAACAAAGGAAGGTCAAGTCCGCGCTCCGAGCCTGGGAACCACTGCACACCCCAGCCACGCTGAACCGGAAAATTCCCGCCTCCAGAACTGAACCGCCGCCATCTGGGAGGCGGGGCTGAGGTGCACCCCCAGGACCCGAAGAAATAAACAAGACAGAAAGGTTCTGAGTATGCGGGAGGTCGCGAGCCCAGACCTACCTTTTGCAACACGTGGGACCCAGCACTCTTCCTGCCACCCACACCTGAGATTGCTGCGGGGTGGACCCCAGCCTTCCTTCACTCAAGACGGATACAGAGCCCCAACGAACGTCTTCCTTTCCTAAGTTGAGGACAGATAGCAACTGCTCACACCCACCCTCAAAAGGCGTGCTCAAACCTAGCACCTCCGACATCCAGCTGTGAACCCGCAGCTGTGTAAAGTCCGCGCAGGCGCAGATCTGTTGCGCGGTGGGCGTGGCTCCCAGGGTTTTTCGCAGCCGGGCCTCCGGCGCCCCGCCTTCTGCCCAGTTCCCGCATGCGCGATTGAGTCCCAGGGGCGGGGCTGTTACATCCGGGTGTCTGGCGCCCTGAGGCTGTTTTGTTTTCTCGGCTGCACTGGGGGCTAGTGAGGCGACCCGGCGCGGCGCGACATCAGGCTCCGGACGGACTGCACGGGCGGGGCTGGACGTAAGTGCCAGAGGGGAGTGGGGGCAGGACAGGAATGGCTGCAGGATGGACTGGGCTCGGACCTGGGACTGTGTGACTGGCTGATGCTGACAGTGTCTTTGAAGCCGCAGACCTGGGCTGTGCCTCCCTGGACCCTTCCCGGCCACTTCCTTCAGCCTGTGTCCGGCGGCGGCGGCAGAAGAGGGCGACCGCGTCCAGACCTGCCAGGCTGCGAGACTAGTGGGGACAGACCGTGCCCCTCCCCCGAGACATCCCAGGATCCCTGAAAACCTTGTCTCCCTACTTTGGAGCTGGTCAGACTGAAGCCCGAGAGGCGTGTGTACTCCGCCTGTACCCACAGCGAGGGAGGTGGCCGAGCTGGACCTAGTTCCCAGAGCTTCCAAATTCCTGTCCACTCTCTAGACCTAAAATTCCTAGAGTCTGGAGGGCAGGGTTTGGGCTTGAGTGTGCCAGAGATCATGCAAAGAAAAATGGATTCGGGGCGGGGCCGTTGGGATGAGCCGAAAATAACACATACTGGATTGCTCTTCCTCCCAGGGAGGAGGAAAATGGGTGAATTTTAAAATTTGAACTGGTCCCAAAGGCATGTTAGCACAAGTTGTAATCACAGTTTTTTTTGAGTTGGACTCTCACTCTTGTTGCTCAGGCTGGAGTGCAGTGGCACGCTCCCAGCCACCGCAGCCTCGACCTGCTGCGTTTAGGCGATCCTTCCGCCTGAGCCTTCCAAGTAGCTGGAACTACAGACACATGCCACCACGCCTGGCTAGTTTTTGTGATTTATTGTAGAGGCGAGGTCTCACCAAGTTGCCCAGGCTGGTCTCCAACCTCCGGGCTCGGGCAATCCTCTCGCCTCAGCCTCCCAAAGTGCTGGGATTACAGGCTGAGCCACCGCGCCCGGCCCACAGTATTGTTTTTAATATTTAATTTTTAAAAGGAAAGTTAAAAATTTGAGTCGTTGCTCTTTTTTGTGGTGTCATGTTTTGAGCAACCATAATTGCTGGCTACAGAGTAACTTAATGGGCGGTTTAAGTTCGCTGTAGGAGTTTGGATGTTTTCTTGATTGTTAGCAAGTTACACGTAATTCAGGCTTTTTCATATAGATGAAATGGATGTTTCTCAGGCCAGATCTGTACAGCTCAGTTTAGAGGAATGTTTTATTTAATTTGTTAAGACAATTTGGTTCAGCTCTGGTAATTGAAATTTGAATAGCAGTGGGGTTTTTGTTATCTGAATTAATATTAACCACAATTCTGTGCTTTCTTTTAGCTGCAAACATTCGTTAGGGTCAGAGACTGAGATATTACAGTGGGTGTTTGTTACACAGAAGTGATACCAAAGGGCAGGCTTGGAGAAGGAAAAATAATGAAGTGAAAGGAAGTGATTGGACAGAGGTAAAACCTGCAGTGCAGTGTTTCTTTCTTTTTTTTAGAAAGCAGGATTTATTAAGAGAACAGAAAAGCTTCCACAGTTGGGGGGACCTGAAGGGGTAGCCCGCAATTTCTTAATCTAGATGTGAAGAACACATTCTATGATAAAAATATGTAAATTCCTAAGAGAAATATTTTTCATCTGAATCCATACTTTAACTTAGAGTCAAAGTGTGTCACTTGTCTCTCCACTATGTTAGTGCTTCTGGGCTGTAAATATCAAAATAATATGAAAACTTAGTTTGGAATTAAAATGATACAAAAGAGCCCCTGTGAATTAATAATCATTATATACTTGGCATTAAAAATATTACTTAAACTAATTTAATACCTACTTGGAAATAATAGGAGCTGGCAGATTTCAGAAGGTCAACCAATAGTTAAGATTTTTTTCAACATTTAGATATCCATCTTTGTTCATATTACTTAAATATACCAAAACCATCTTTTAAATTTAAAAAAAAAATTGCCAGACGTGGTGGCTCATGCCTGTAATCTCGGCACTTTGGGAGGCAGAGGTGAGAAGATTGCCTGAGCTCAGGGGTTCGAGACCAACCTGGGTAACTTGGTGAGACATTGTCTCTACAGTAAGTCAAAAAATTAGCTGTGCATGGTGGTGCATGCCTGTAGTTTCAGCTACTTGGAAGACTGAGGTGGAAGGATTGCGTGAGCCCAGCAGGTTGAGGCTCCAGTGGCCATGAGCATGCCACTGCACTCCAGACTGTGCTATAGAGTGAGACTCCAACTCAAAAAATAAATGAGTCCAGATTTTATTTCCCAAAATTATAATGTGGAAATTCACCAAAAGCTAAATTAAATATTTTAGAGAAGTATGTTGAGCCAAAATAAGCTTTTGTAACTTCACTTTTAAATTATTCTTGAACTGTTATTTTCCAGGGACAGAAGTCAAATTTGGAGCAAGTAAATGGAAGTATTTTATCTAGCTGTTTGTTTCTTTGTTTTTAAGTGACCTGAAAAATGTCTGGATTTCTAGAAGGCTTGAGATGCTCAGAATGCATTGATTGGGGGGAAAAACGCAATACTATTGCCTCCATTGCTGCTGGTGTTCTAGTAAGTGTCATTGATAATTTGGGCCTTCCTTATTTTGGTGCATTTGTGTTTATGGGTTTTTAATTCTATGAGTTGTTATAATATATGTACTATTTTATCTTTGACCACTGAACATATTTTAATAAATGTTGATATTTTGCTTATGGGAGTTGAGTTGTTAGTTCCTTTTTAAGAGTTGAAATTACGGTTTGAAATTTGAATTACAGATTGGTTGGGTTATTTATTTATTTTGAGTTGGGGTCTCATTCTGTCACCCAGGCTGGAGTGTAGTGGCACACTTACTGCCACCACAGCCTTGACCTGTTGGGCTCAGGTGATCCTTCTGCCTTAACCTCCCAAGTAGCTGGGACTACAGGAGTGCGCTACCACGCCCAGCTAAGTTTTTGACTTATTGTAGAAATGAGGTCTCACCAAGTTGTCCATGCTAGTTTTGAACCCCTGAGCTCAGGCAGTCCTCTCGTCTCAGCCTCCCAAAGTGCTGGGATTACAGGCTTGAGCCACCGCGCCTAGCCTTTTTTTTTTTTTTTAATTGGAGGCTCACTCTGTTGCCTGAGCTGGAGTGCAGTGGCATGTTCACAGCCACCACAGCCTCGACCTACAGGGCTCAGGTGATCCTTCTGCCTCAGCCTTCCAAGTAGCTGGAACTATAGGTGTGCACCACCATATCTGGCTAATTTTTTGATTTATTGTAGAGATGAGGTCTCACCAAGTTGCTCAGTCTTATCTTGAACCCCTGGGCTCAGGCAATTCTTTTGCCTCTGCCTCCCAAAGTGCTAGGATTACAGGTGCCTGACTGGTTGGGTTATTTTAACTGCATGATAAAACTGGTATAATAAAACAGTATATTTTGCTGGGCATGGTGGCTCAAGCCTATAATCCCAGTACTTTGGGAGGCTGAGGCAAGAGAATTGCCTGAGCCTGCAGGTTCGAGACTAACTTGGGAAACTTGGTGAGACCTCATCTCTACAATAAATAAAAAAAATTAGCACATGCCTATAGTTTCAGCTAATTAGAAGGTTGAGGCAGAAGGATCTCCTGAACCCAGCAGGTCAAGGCTGTGGTGGCTGTGAGCATGCCACTGCACTCCAGTCCAGGCAACAGAGTGAGACTCCAACTCAAAAAAAATTAAAATAATAAATAAGTAAAACAGTATATTTTATATATTTATTCATTTTATAGATTATGCCTTCTCTTTTTTTTTAGATTGGAAAATATAGTTTATTTAGAAAGTAAATTAGAGAAAGAGAGACGAGATTCATCTCCCCAGGGTAAGGGAGGGGACCAAAGCTAGAAAACATGGCCTGGCCATAGCTCAGTGAGAACATGGCCTGGCCGGTGCTTAGCGAAAGCAATGACCTATGCCTCCTCTTAAGGAGTACATTAAGGTATAAGGAAATGTTTAAGAAGCACTTGATAACTAGTCAATAACTAAGCATTTCTTCATAATCCAGAGTTTACTTTCTTCTCAATCCCCAAACAGGAAACTCAGTAAAATATTTTGCACAAAAGTAATTTATAGGATGCAATTCTTTTTTACATTTTAAATCCCTCAAGGAATCTGATATTTTTGTTTTATGATCTTATGGTGTCATATGCTCTAAAGAGTAAATTTTAAGTAAACAAATGAATAAATATCTAAATTTAAGCATCTCCTCTTCAACTAATCTCTGACATAATGTATAAAAAATAATTATCCTATATTTTTCCAAAGTAGTGGCAACATTTAATACTACTATAGTTATTTTGCTCTTACAAATTGTTTTTAAAGTTTAAAGTTTTAGTCTATGAAGAAATCTTGAATACATTGAGCTTAGGGTTAAAAAAAAGAATGTGTACGCATTTAAATTTAAAAATATGTCATTAATAAAGTATGGATCTGTCTATAAGCTGACTAAAGTAATTTGATTAGCCTGAAGTAGTTATTTTTAAGTAATTACCAGAAAGTGGCAATTCCCAGAGCTAACTGGATCAGGGGTGGGAGTGGGGGTGGAAAAGGGATTACTTTCAAAACCTTCTAAGCTACTTGTCAGAATTTGGTTAATATTATTTTATTGTAAATTTCTGCTCAGATGATAAAAAACATACGTGCACAGTTTTGTGGGGTTTTTTGTTATAGATCTTTCCTTGATAATATCCAGAACAAAATTCAGTTCTACTAGTTATAATCTGGTGTTTAAATTGAATTTTTTTTGGACCGTGGTCTCACTCTGTTACCCAGGCTAGAGTGCAGTGGCATGATCTCAGCTCACCGCAGCCTCGACCTCCTCAGCCTCCCGAGTAGCTGAGACTACAGGTATGTGGCCACCGCACTCGGCTAATTTTTTAGGTTTTTTTTTGTAGAGATGAGATCTTGCTATTTGCCTAGGCTGGTCTTGAACTCCTGGGTTCAAGCAATCCTCCTACCTCAGCCTCCCAAAGTGCCGGGATTACAGGCATAAGCCACCGCATCCGGCCTAAATTAAATTTAAAATCACACCTGAACCATCTATATCCTGCACTGGGATTCATCCAAAGCAGAACTGAAGAGCTGTTATCTCACAACACCAAGAGGTTAGCTAAAATTCTATCAACAATAATTGTTCCTTATGTTAATTTGAATAATTTTTTTTTATTTTTCAGTAATGTCTTACTGGAGGCTTATAATATATCAGCAACAGGACACTTCTGTCCTTTTGGAATCTGAGTCATTTTTTTCCTTTCTCATGCCACAAGATACTGTAACTCGTTTCTAGTTCACCAAATTAGATTACAGACTTTATCATGACAATATAAAATAATGATTAAAGTAGACTTAGAAAAAAGAGTCTGTTAATAAAAATTAATTGTTGTCAGACTTAAGGGCACCTGATATTTAATCACCTATTAGCTATGTGCAAATTATATGCAAGAAACTGTTGGAACATTTATGACAATTTTGAAATGTATTAGAAGGGATCTCATCACTTAGATACCTTGCTTTCTTTTACTCAGTAAAACATGAAATTGCTTTAATTTCTCATTGGCATCACCTTTGTTTTAGTTTTTTACAGGTTGGTGGATTATCATAGATGCAGCTGTTATTTATCCCACTATGAAAGACTTCAACCACTCATACCACGCCTGTGGTGTTATAGCAACCATAGCCTTCCTAATGTAAGTGACATTGTTATTGGTACAGACTGTCTTACATATAGTTGCATAGATTTAAATTTTTTGTTACTAAATTAACAGATTGGACATGATTTACAGGTTATACCATAGAGAAGAACTTCTAAAGAAAAACAGCAGTCGTCTTTTCTTCCTTCTCGCTCTCTCTCAACCTCTGTCTCCCAGCTTCTCTCAGCTGTCTTTTTATTGCTATGCTACCTGCATTTCTAACCTTACATCTAGGTCAAAAATTAGGTACTTTGTCTAAAGGATTATACATTCCTCAGCAAATATTTACTAAGCTTTTTTTTTTTTGGTAGGAGTCTCACTCTGTCACCCAGGCTAGAGTTCAGTGGCATGCTGCTCACGGCCACCACAGCCTCGACCTGCTGGGCTCAGATGATCCTTCCGCCTCAGCCTTCCAAGTAGCTGGAATCTATAGTCACGACTGTAATTAGCCTGGCTAATTTTTTGATTTGCTGTAGAGGTGAGGCCTCGCCAAGTTGCCCAGGTTGGTCTCAAACCCTTGGGCTCAGGCAGTCCTCTCACCTTGGCCTCCCAATGTGCATGAGCCACTCACTGCACCCAGCCCTACTCTGTTTTTAAATGTTAAAAATGTAGGATGTACCAGTAAACACAAAAGAAGAGGAAGTTACTTATAATCTTACCAAACTATAACCTTTTGACATATATTCTACCAGTCCTTTCTACTTTTCTGTCTGTCTGTCTTTCTTTTCTTTCTTTCTTTTTTTTTTTTTTGAGTAAGAGTCTCACTCTTCCGCCCGGGCTGGAGTGCAGTGGCCGCTCCCGGCCACCGCAGCCTCGACCTGCTGGGCTCCGGCGATCCTTTCACCTCGGTCTTCCAAGTAACTGGTACCACAGGCGTGCACCACAATGCCCAGCTAATTGTTTTATTTATTATAGAGATGAGGTCTTGCCAAGTTGCCCAGGCTGGTCTCAAAGCCCTGGACTCAGGCAATGAGAATACAAATGGGAAACGAGAGACAATGACCCCTGTCCTCGTGAAGCTTACATAAATAGGTATATGTAAAATGTATATAATGCTTTGTGACCTTAACTTTATATATATAGAATGATATCTATATCTACATCTATATATGTATATATCTATATTTTTTTTTAATTGGATTCTCACTCTGTCGCACAGGCAGGAGTGCAGTGGCTCGCTCACAGCCACCCTAGTGTCGACCTGCTGTACTCAGGCGATCCTTCTACCTCAGCCTTCTAAGTAACCAGAGCTACAGGCACGCGCTACCACACCCAGCTAATTTTTGATTTATTGTAGAGATGAGGTCTCGCCAAGTTTCCCAGGCTGTTCTTGAACATGAGGGCTCAGGCAGTCCTCTCACCTCGGCCTCCCAAAGTGCTGGGTTTATAGACTTGAGCCACCGTGCTTGGCTAACTTGATATATTTTTAACTTTTTCCTATGACATTTAAAATGTTTCAAAGGATATTTCTAAAGAAAGCAAGGCTGTTTCAATTTAGAGTGGTACCCTTTGAAAGTCAGTGAAAGAATATGTTTAGGACATGTATCAGGGATTGAAAATACAAGATTTTACCACCTGCATTTATTTGATAACGTCTTCTTCAGAACAAAAAGTTACTGTTTTGTTTGAAATGTAATTATTCCTCAAAACGTTGGACATTAGTACAAAATGATTACAAAAAATTGATTCCAAAGCCAATTTTAAGTAGTTTTTGGATTGTCCAGGGCCCATTTTCTCTGTCTGCCTTTGCCATACATGATTACAAATTGAGTATGTCTAATATGTACAAATGGAAAACTAGGTAGAGCCAAGCTAAATTATCCTTCTATCTGTTCTAATCTTAGCAATATACAATTTTGAGAAATTTGTTCCCAAATTTTAACAAGCATCAGAATCACCTGACTCAGTTTCTGGGCCCATGCTCAGAGCCTTTGCTTCAGTAGTTTTGGAGTGAAGCCAGAGAATTTTCTTTTTAACCAAGTTGCCAGTTGATGCTGATTCTGCTAGTCTGGGGCCCACATCCACTGCTTTAAAGAGTATTTGGTTGAAGGAACTTGCTTAAAGTCTTATGAACCCTTGACTCAAAACTTGTGAGGCCTAACCTTAAACTTGAGGAACTTTAGCTTATTATTTCTGATAACTTGATGTCATGGATAGTTTCTTCTTGGAGTCAGAGACTCTGATTTTTTGGTTTTATTTTATTCCCACAGGATTAATGCTGTATCGAATGGACAAGTCCGAGGTGACAGTTACAGTGAAGGTTGTCTGGGTCAAACAGGTAAATAGGTGCAAACAGCATCTTACTACACATGTTTACATCCTTAAAGGAGAATCTGCATGGAAGGGCTACTTGTCTAATTCCTTCAGATCAGAGTAGGGTAGAGTTGAATCTAGAGCAGAGGTTATAGGCATAAAGTAAAAGTGACTTTTTTTTTTTTTTAGTCAGACTCTCATTGATGCCCAGTCTAGAGTGCAGTGGCATACTCATGGCCACGGCAGCCTTGACCTGCTGGACTCAGGCTATCCTTTCACCTCAGCCTTCTAAGTAGCTAGAACTACAGGTGTGCACCACCATGCCCAGCTATTTTTTTGATTTATTGTAGAGAAGCGGTCTCGCCAAGTTGTCAGGAGCTCAAACTCCTGGGTTCAGGCAATCCCCTCGCCTCAGCCACCCAAGTGCTGGGATCACAGGTGTGACCCACTGCCCCTGGCCCTAAAAGTGATATTTTAAAAATGTAGTCACAATTAGTTGTATAGTACAGAATACATAGTTTTGAATATATAATCCTGTGGAAATAATATATAGATGTTAATATATACAGACTACAGTGGAGAGCAGTATATAATAATACACATGCAAAGTAGAATTTCTAGTATTTTAAACTACGCCATATAAATGATTTTCTTCCTTTTTTGCCAACCTCATTTGGTTGAATTAGCATTTTGAAATAGTTTAGAATCACACAGCTGTTTGTTGTTGTTGTTTTAAATTGTGATAAAATATACATAACATAAAGTCACCATCTTAACATTTTTATGTGTACAGTTCAGTGTTATATATTAAAAATGTTAAAATAAAATATTAAAAATATATATTAAGCACATTCACGTTGTTGTGCAGCCCATCTCCAGAACTCTTCTTATAGAATATCAGAGTTTTGGTGCTTGGACTCACCCAGGTCTTTCTCAGCTGGGGACTCTTGTCCCCTGGGCACCCTGGCTTTGTCCCTGAGGGAGGCAGAATAGAGGATATAATACGTGACACAACTTCTCAACAGAGTACAGATCACACAAAGATTCAAGGGGACAGATATTTATTAGGGAGTTTAAGTGATAAATATTACTCTCATATAGAAATAAACCTGGACATGGGAGAATTTCAGATGGACTTTCTTTTGTCTTTTTAATGAAACAGGAGAATGACACTGATGTACCAAAACCTTGTAGAATCTGAAAGAAGGGATGAGAGTTAGCAGTTAGCATTTTAATAATAAGCCAGTGACAGCTAGAGGCAGGACTAGAATGTGGCCATCACATCTCTAAATAAAATGGTGTTAGCTAGCCCAATTCTAGGAGTCTAGAGCCTGTTGTGTTTATTTCGATATCACAGCTATGAGCAACAGCTTATTATTTTGAAACTATTGTTTCATGTTTGGGGCATGAAATCGGAAATTAATATATAACATTGTTTTCTGTGCTTTATGAGCTAGGTAATAGTTGTATCAAAATATATTTGTGCTAATTGAGTAAAGAGACCCTATCTCAGAATTCAGTTACTCCATTTGTTATTACTATTGTTATTTTTTGAGTCAGAGTCTCACTCTGTTGCCCAGGCTGGAGTGAAATGGCATGCTTACGGCCACTGCTGCCTTGACCTGCTGGGCTCAAGTGATCCTTCTGCCTCAGCCTTCCAAGTAGCTGGAACCACAGGCACATGCCACTGTGCCCAGCCAATTTTTTTATTTTATTGTAGAGATGAGGTCTCACCAAGTGGCCCAGGCTGGTCTCAAACCCCTGAACTCAGGTAATCCTCTCGCCTCTGCCTCCCAAAGTGCTGGGATTACAGGTGTAAGCCACTGCTCCCAGCTACTCCATTTATTATTTGCAGCAGATCTTCATCAACATGTAATGTGATTTAGAAGTTGGTTGTCCTTCTCTGTTACCATAATTTTGATGCAACTTTCCTAAGTGCCAGTCACAGTAAATTTGAGTTTTCTTTGCTGCCTGACTTTCCTGAAAGTAAAATGTGATAACTTTGAGACTCAATTGTATTTTTGAGTTGGAGTCTCACTCTGTATTTTTTATTTTTGAGTTGGAGTCTCACTCTCACCCAGACTGGAGTGCAGAGGCACGCTCATAGCCACTGCAGACTCAACCTGCTGGGCCCAGGTGATCCTTCTGCCTCAGCCTTGAAGATGTATTTTTACAGTATATCTATGTTATTGTTTGAGAGTACTCTTGGAGGACTTTAAAGTTTGGAGCACAGTTTCTAAAAATACTTGGGCAACAAGCCTCCAAATTTGGTAAAACATTTTATGAGATGTTTTATAGGAAAGTTGAGTAAAATTTTTGCCAGTGTAGGTAGCTGGGGAAAGTGAATGATATATGCACTTAGAATCTACAGATCAATAAATAATAATAATTTAAGCAAATATATACAGGCCAACCAAGAAGAAAAAGACAACATCTGTACTGATGGAAGATTCCTAACACACCTTCCATTCTTATTTTAGACTTTAATGGCAGTTGCATGTCTTTTTCTGTTGGGTTTCTGTTTTCTTTTTGAAAGTTAGTTGTACTGACTGCTGCCATGTGAGAATCAACTCTGGTAAAATGTTACTTCTTTTAAGGTGCTCGAATTTGGCTGTTTATTGGTTTCATGTTGGCCTTTGGATCTCTGATTGCATCTATGTGGATTCTCTTTGGAGGTTATGTTGCTAAAGGTAAGAGAAGACACAGGTCACAGCATACTTCACTGAAATACTGGGATTTTGAATTAAAGTTGGTTGTTTTAGAGTAAAGCTTTTATCATATAGATGGACCATCTACTCACAGTGTATTTGTACCTGGGGACTCCACTTCACCCAAGTTCAGTTTTGTTTCTCTTATACGTTTTTAGTATTTGCTTCTTTAGTATTTTTTTCTTCTAATCTAGAGCTTGGAAGGGATGACATACAGCTCCAAACAATGCTTTTCTATGGATTCCAAAAATCTCAAATGCAGAATATGTATATTCTCTAGCTAGTTAGTTAATTCTGACTTTCAGAATAATATCCATGCAAAGCTCTAACGTCACAGCACTGAAATGTATTCAGTAAAACCTCCCTGCTAATATGATGTCAACTCCTTTTAGATAGAAAAGTAAGTTAACATTTTCTATGCACCTGCTGCCTCAGGCCAGTTTGAGGCAAGCTCCGGCAAGGGTATACTGCTGGATCCCTGGCTGAGATTTCTCCTTGAGGGATCCCAGAAAAAAATACAAAACTTACTTAATGTTCTAGATAAACTGGCAATATCTGTCATAGTAAAAATATAATATTAATGAGTAACAAAAACTGGACCAACCTAGATTTAATTTAGTTCAGATTTTAACACTTCTTGAATAAAATGTAACTTTTAAATCAAAATCATTTCTTAATTTGTATTAAAATCATTTGAATCAGCCAGGCTCGGTGGCTCAGCCTGTAATCCCAGCGCTTTGGGAGGCCGAGGTGAGTGGATTGCCTGAGCCCGCAGGTTCGAGACCTGCCTGGGCAACCTGGCAAGACCTCATCTCTACAATAAATCAAAAAATCAGCCGGGCATGGTAGCGCACGCCTGTAATTCCGGCTACTCGGAAAGCTGAGGCGGAAGGATCGCCAGAGCCCAGCAGGTCGAGGCTGCGGTGGCTGGGAGCGGCCACTGCACTCCAGTATGGGCAACAGAGTGAGACTCCAACTCAAAATAAATAAATTAATTTAATTAAATTAAATCATTTGAATCACAGGAATAATAGATATTTTTAAATATTTGTGGTTTTCTTTTGTTTATGTAATTTATTATTAAAACAATATTACCAAAAATGTAGAAAATAAAAGAAAAAAAGCAATAATAATCTTCTACTCGAATATCTTGGAATATTTCTTTTTGATTTCTTTTATGCTTTCATATAGTTATTATTGATCCATGCTTTTTGCATTTAACATATTATAAGTCGTTCTCTTGCTGCTACAAAATGTTTGTCACCATCTTTTTTTTTTTTTTGTTAAGTCAGAGTCTCACTCTGTCACTTAGGCTGGAGTACAATGGCACACTGCTCATGGCCACCATAGCCTAGACCTGCTGGGCTCAAGTGATCCTTACCTCAGCCTTCCAAGTAGATGGAACTACAGACATGTGCTATCACACCCAGCTAATTTTTGATTTATTGTGGAGACAAGGTCTCACCATGCTGCCCAGTCTGGTCTCAAACTGGTAGACTCAGGCAGTCCTCTCGCCTCAGCCTCCCAAAGTGCTAGGATTACAGGCATGAGCCACCACGCCTGGCACCATCTTTTTTTTTAAAGGGGCAGGGTGTCACTCTCTTGCCCAGGCTAAAGGGCATTGGGGTGATCATAGTTCACTACAACCTTTAACTCCTAGGCTCCAGCGATCCTGCCTCAGCCTCCCAAAGTCCTGGGATTACAGGCATAAGCCACCGCACTCAGCTTCCCATATTTTATTTTATTTATTTATTTATTTTGTTGAGTTGGAGTCTCACTCTGTCGCTCAGGCTGGAGTGCAGTGGCACACTCTTGGCCACCACAGCCTCGACCTGCTGGACTCAGGTGATCCTTCCGCCTCAGCCTTCCAAGTAACTAGAACTATAGGTACATGCCACCATGCCCGACTAATGTTTTGATTTATTGAAGAGATGAGGTCTCACCAAGTTGCCTAGGCTGGTCTTGAACCCGTGAGCTCAGGCAGTCCTCTCACCTGAGCCTCCCAAAGTGCTGGGATTATAGGCATGAGCCATCGCAGCCCCCATATTTTAAAAACAATAAAAAGGTACTTTTTAAATTATGTGAATAGCATAATACTTGTTCATTGGGAAAACTGACAGTATAAAATAACTCAAAGAAGAAAATAAAATTGCTGATGATTTTGTCCCAGATACCACCGTCAATACAGAGCCCTTTTTTACAGGAATGACTTCATCTCATGGGATTTTAAGTTATTTTCCTAAAGGCTTCTGGAGTGAGGCTATGCCTTGAGAATTATTAGCAGCAGATCTGTAATTTTATAAAGTTGCCTTTTATAAGCCATGCTAGTGGTAATGGTTATTTGATGTGGAATAATAGTGAAGACCTGTACAAGCCGTCTGTTATATTTATGAGATTAACTTAAAGCTGTGCTGAGGTGAGAAAAGTTAACAATTTATCTCTTCATCCTGCCTCAGTTTGTGAATTAATGAGCAGTCATTGACAACTCTAGTAGTAGAAATTTATGAAAATTTCCACTTCAATCCTAGATATAGTCAGAACAAAATGTTCATCTAAGCAGTCTTTTGCATTTTAGTTAATGGTCACTCCATCCTTCCAGATGTTTAGGCCAAAAACCCTGATGGTTAAGGCCTGTCAAATATGACGCTTCCCTTCCTCTCACAACCCACACCCAGTCCATCAGCAGATCTTGTTGACTATGCTGTAAAATATATCCTGAATCTACCCACTTTTTGCCATCTCTCTCGCTACCACTCTGGTTCAGTCCATCACAGTCTCTTGCCTGATTGTCTGGAAGAGCCTTCTAACCAGCTCATCTGTTTCTTCCCTTGCCCCCTTTAATCTGCTCTTAGCACATCAGCCAAGGGGATCCTGTTAAAATTTGTCAGCTCATACCATTTTTCTGCTCAGAACCCTCCAGTGGCCTCTCATCTCACGTAGTAAAATTCAGAACTGGGACTGCAGGGCCCAGCGCCCCTTCTCTAAACACCTGGAAGGAGAGAGTGGCCATCAACTGAAATGGGAGAGACTGCAGGAGGAACGTTTTGTTCTGGTTGTCTCCAAGATTGAAGCTGACATTCTCATCATTTCTACTCTGGGATTGCAGATGACTGTTTCCTCTCTTGCTCTCATACGCCAGCTGCCTCCTCAGGGCCTCTTCTGGCTGTTCTGCTGCTCTCTCCTGGCGCCTGCCCCACTTCCTTCATGTCCTCATATATGAGGTCTTTCTGGCCACCTGTGGCAGATGTTCTCATTCACTGTACCTCCTATACCTTTCCTGCTTTCTTTTTTCTCCTTATTTATTCAGCATATTGTTCAGATCCGTGAGAGGGGGAATAAAGGGCCTGTTTTGTTGACTGCTGTATCCTCAGCACATTAAACAGGGCCAGCACTTAGTATGCTCTCAGTAAATAATTGTTAAATGAAAGCCGAGAACTAGCATTTATTTATTTGTTTATTCTCCACCTCCCTTAACTAGCATTTATTAAAGAAGGGCTAGATTCTATCATGTGTCACATGTGTTAAGACATTTAGTACTCAAACCAACCTTACTTACCAGAAAAAGCAATTATGCTAGACAGGAAAACGGATATATGTCAATGTATCTGAAACTAAATGTTTTGAGATCATAAACCTCTAAATATTGCAATTCTTTTTACAGAAAAAGCCATAGTATACCCTGGAATTGCTGTATTTTTCCAGAATGCCTTCATCTTTTTTGGGTAAGTTTGTTTTGTGTTCTTCCTCTTATCATTTTTAATTTTTTAAATTTATTTTTTAAAAGTATTTATTGCATTTAGGCTTTGACCACAGATTTAAAAGCCAAGAAACAGAATAGACATATATTGAATTCTGATATATGCCCATCTTACACAATACACAAAAATAAACTCCAGATGGATAGAAACATAAATGAAATACAGGTAGATAGTGTCATGCATAGCAGGCTGGGTATGGTATGGTATGACCAGAGTCACAGGGGGTAGAAAGCATTCAAGACAGTTAGGAATTAAGAAATGTAGATTTATTAAAGAGAAGATACACTGTGAAGGGCATAACAGGCAGGAAAACAGCAAGGTGACTACTGTCTGCTACATCATTTTTTTTTAAATAACAGTTTATTTTATGTCATTTACTCTGTGTAGTTACTTAATTTACCCTTGTCCAATGTCCCTCCCCCATGTTATTTTCATAAAATACAAAGAATGATGAGGTTGAGAAGGGTATTTTTATTTATTTATTTTTGAGTTGGAATCTCACTCTGTCGCTCAAACTGGAGTGCAGTGGCACACTCATGGCCATCACATCCTCGACCGGCTAGGCTCAGGTGATCCTTCCGCATCAGCCTTCAAAGTAGCTGGAACTATAAGCATGCGCCACCATGCCTGGCTAATTTTTTGATTTATTGTAGAGATGAGGTCTCACCAAGTTTCCCAGGCTGGTCTCAAACCTGTGGACTCAGGCAGTCCTCTCACCTTGGCCTCCCAGACTGCTGAGATTATAGGCGTGAGCCACCATGCCCAGCCAAGAAGGATATTTTTAGTACATGGGTTGGTTTGCTGCCAATCCTGGCAGCATACACTATTTTTTAAGATTGCCACCACACCCCCTTTAAGAATCAACTGTGATTCATGTAGATTCACCTCTATAACATTGACACTGTTCTTTTTTTTTGAGTCAGCGTCTCACTCTGTTGTACAGGCTAGAGTGCAGTGGCATAATCAGAACTTACCACAGCGTCGACCTGAGCTTAGGGGATCCCTCCATCTCAGCCTCCTAAGTAGCTAGGACTGCCAGCACAGACTACCACACCCGACTAACTTTTTTATTTTTTGTAGAGCTGACGTCTTGCTGTGTTGCCCAGGCTGGTCTCAAACTCCTGGCCTCAAGCAATTCTTCTGCCTCTGTCTCTGCCTCCCAAAGTGCTAAAATTATAGGCATGAGTCACCACGTCTGGCCTCTAACATTTTTTTTTTTTTTTAATGAAAGCCTGCCTAAAACCATTTCTCCTTAAATTTTAGTTTCTGGTATATTTTATAGTTCTTCTATCCCTGGTGTCATTAGAATTTGTGAGTGTAGAGGAAAAGCCCCAACATTTCTTATCCTCAAATTGCAAGTTTGAAAAGATTACTAATGATTACTAAAACCCCACAAATCTTGATGCTTTTTATCTTCTTCTTTTTCTTTTTACTGGTGGCTTCTTGCCAGAAAAACTTCAATACTTTTATTAATAATCTTCTCTGATGGGCCGGGCGCGGTGGCTCAGCCTGTAATCCCAGCACTTTGGGAGGTAGAGGTGAGAGGTTTGCCTGAGCCCGGGAGTTTGAGACCAGCCTGGGCAACTTGATGAGACCTCATCTCTACAATAAATCACAAAAGCTAGCCAGACACGATAGCATGCATCTGTAGTTCCAGCTTCTTGAAAGGCTGAGGCGGAAGGATCACCTGAGCCCAGCAGGCTGAGGCTGCGGTGGCCGTGAGCGTGCCACCGCACTCCAGCCTGGGCAACAGAGTGAGACTCTGACTCAAAAAAATAAATAAATAAAATAAAATCTTCTCTGATGATCCTCTGATCTTCTTTCCTAGAAACTTAGGGCCTGTTCTTTCCCCCAACCACGCTCTCCCCAAAAAAAATCCACAAACAAAAACAACTCTTTATCCTCTACATCTGGAGGCTTCTGAGGATGAGAAGTCACCAGACATCTCCACATGTGACAAATGGATTTTCTGCTTATTTCTGGGGAGAGAGAGTCTGTGGCTTTCACCAGATTATCAAAGATATCCCTAATCCAAAACAGGTTAAGAGGCTGCTATGTGTTATAGGACTTTTCCTTCCTTGTGCCTTCCCCCACCTCCAACAAACCAATAAGGGCCCTGTGTCTACTTGAACCACTCTTGGAATCCTAGTAGTTGCCCTTTGGCAACAGTCACAGTTGGTACCCATTCCGTTCCATCACCGGCCACTTCTGCAATTTTATAAAAATCACTTTGGGGCCGGGCTCGGTGGCTCAGCCTGTAAT